TCTGTTAAAATTTTGAATATTGAGTGGCAGAACAAAAAAGAACCACGAACGCGGAAATAAGATAATAGTTTCGATACCAATGATAACGAGGGCAGACAGCTGCCAAATTTTTTTAGAACACTCATCCAATAACATGCCAGACATAAATGCTGGGAAGTGCTGGATTTGGTCATTGGCTGTTGGATTTGGTCGTCGTCTCACCTCCGTACTGCGGAGGGCAGATGCATCGGAAGGCGGCCTCTTCGTTCTGAGGATCCTTGACGGTGATGGCTGATGAACTGATCTCTCTCGGCATCCGGGTTCTAATATTATTCATTAAATTTAATGCATCTTCGTCTAGAATGATCACATCATTCCTTTCATCTTGGATATTGAAATTAAACGTAATAGGGGATGAATTCGACGGTCTAACTTCGTGTTCGATGCCGTCAACATTTTTCAGGCCAGACGGGTGAATATTTGACTGAGAAGGCAAAGAACGCAAAACATATTCTTTGCGGTTGATGACATTAGTTTCGTCATCATCGAAGTCTGAAATTTCGAAGTTATCACGATCTTCACGATCTTTGTGGTGGTAAATTTGTTTTGAGGTCCATAGGCCATCACGGCCGATGGCGACTCGAACAAGTTCGTCAACATCGGAGTCGTCATTTTGCTTGCCTTTTCTGCGGTCTCTGTATTTGTCAGCATGGCTAAAGTTACTGGTACCATCGTGCCTTAAGTTACTGGAAATACCGCGGCCAATGTTATTCGTTCCAGAGTGAATAAATTTAACGGCGCGGTCAGGAGCAACGGTACTGGAACTAGTTGGATGATATCTCCCAGAATGGTTTAAGTAGCCGTAGGCTTCAGCTTGCCAGAAGTTTAGGATATCTTCTCGCCTGAAGTCGTCCGTATCAGCACGTCTGAAGCTACTGGCACCAGCATGAGCTTTTGGTCCTGGTGCTCGTGTTGACGACTTCCCTTTAGATGCTTCAGCATGTCGTGTCACACGCGAGTTTGTCAAGACGCACGTGCCGCCGTTGAGACATGGTCGTGACATGCAGGCTAGGTGCTGACACTCTGACACACCTGCTGACTGCACCACCATGGACGATGACGAGCGCTGCACGGTACAGAGCAGACAGTACAAATGTGTACAGCAGTGAGGTTCACGTAAAGAATATTGAGTGGAATGGTAGAGAGATGCACAGTACATTGGTGTATAGCATCAAAGTCCACGGTACCGAAGAGCACAATATGGAAATGCATCATAAAATAGTGCCGATGCCTGGGAGGTGTCCCCCGTAGCAGGCTCACTAATTCCATCGTGCCTTTCGTGTTATTTATTCTGACTTCCGTTACTCGAGTTCTCCCTCATTTATTCTTAACAGAATTAAAATAAAATTTCATTAGTGAATTTTTTTAGAGCTCACTTTCTTCGTTAGACTTCACCCTCGCTTACTTTCCAGAAGTTTATTTTTACTTCCCTCATTACAGTTACACTAGAGTTTACTACTATTAATGCCTTTCAACTCAACATCAGCGCCCTTCAACTCAACACCAACGCCCTTCAACTCACCATCAACGCCCTTCAACTCAACATCAGCGCCCTTCAACTCACCATCAACGCCCTTCAACCCAACATCAACGCCCTTCAACTCACCATCAACGCCCTTCAACTCAACATCAACGCTCTTCAACTCACCATCAACGCCCTTCAACCCAACATCAACGCCCTTCAACTCACCATCAACGCCCTTCAACCCAACATCAACGCCCTTCAACTCGCCATCAACGCCCTTCAATTCAACACCAACGCTCTTCAACTCAACAGCAACGCACTTCAACTCACCAGGTCGACGTCGTGTCCAGCAACTCTGAGTTTGACCACACATCCTGCAAAGCTCTGAGTTGTGCCCAGCCGCTCCGACAACCCAGACTCGAATATGTCTGGGCATTGGCACAAATTATTTCAGATAATATACGCTTTTAATAATGAATTTGAATGAATTATATTAGAGAAAATATATATCGAGTTTAATTTAAAAATAAACTTGGAGGAATTATTGTAAAGATATTTATTTTTTCGTAATTTAATAATAATCTCTCATGAAAATGATGATAATAGCCTTGAACATGTGGCGGTGGCCAGTGGCAGTGGCCAATAACGGTGGCCAGTGGCAGTGGCCAGTGGCAGTGGTCAGTGGCCAGTGGCAGTGGCCAGTGGCCAGTGGCAGTGGCCAGTGGCAGTGCCCAGTGTCAGTGGCCAGTGTCAGTGGCCAGTGTCAGTGACCAGTGTCAATGGTCAGTGGCAGTGGCCAGTGGCAGTGGCCAGTGGCAGTGGCCAGTGGCAGTGGCCAGTGGCAGTGGCCAGTGGCAGTGGCCAGTGGCAGCGGCCAGTGGCAGCGGTCAGTGTCAGTGGCCAGTGGCAGTAGCCAGTAACGGTGGCCTCTCACCTTCCTGTGGTCCGCGGTGGCCGCTGAGGCCCCCCAGCAGGAGGAGCGCTGGGCCTCCCAGGGGCGCCGCGGGCCCCGTAGTCGTCGCCGTCAGCGGCTCAGCGCCATCCACCCGCAGGGTCACGTCGCTGGGGACGTTACGACCGTCGTAAGTTTTACGACCGTCGTAAAATGTACGGCCGTCGTAAGTTTTACGACCGTCGTAAGTTGTACGACCGTCGTAAGTTGTACGACCGTCGTAAGTTCTACGACCGTCGTAAGTTCTACGACCGTCGTAAGTTGTACGACCGTCGTAAGTTGTACGACCATATGAAGACTTGCTGCCACATGCACGATGCTGATCTCATGCACCTACAAGCATTAGTCACGAGCTCGAGGAAGTAAGCTCTCAAATTTGCTATCGACCTTTGCATTGAGAAAGTTCAACTTACGCGACATGAATAACAAAGTTATTCTTACATGGCGATCCAGCGATAGCGATGAAACATGTGCCTCCGTGCCGCGATAACTGTTTCTTTTTGGATCTAACTTCCCTATTGAATTTTCTGGCCGGGTTTTCGGTGGCCATTAAACAGCCAGTTGTGTCCCTCATGTACAATTGATGTTCTGGTTACGTTAATTTTATTTTATTATCGTTTGACAATAAAATAGGCATTGTTCGATGCCCCAACTGCATAGTACTGTTTGATACAAAACTTAATGTTGTTTTCTTTAGGCATGGTTTGATGCCACAACTGTACAATCGGCATAATTTGATGCTACAAGTGCACAATAGACATGATTTTTTATGCAGCAACTGTATAGTGTATAAAAATGATAATTTCATGCCACATCTGTACAATAGGAATGATTTGACCCAGTAACTCAGAGTTTGTTGTTCACAGGTGGTTGCATAGTAAGATCCTGATAAGAAAATGTGTGTAACAAAAGCAAGGCAATTGTATTGTATTATTTTTCGCTGCATAGAAGCATAAAAACTTCATTTTGCAGGGCACAATACAAGACTGCTTGCTTCATGGTTTCCATTTATGGTACAAATGGGAAGAAGAATGGCTTTTACAGCTGATACGAATCATTATATAAAATAGCTCTCTAATTTTACGAACATGACATTTCGTGCGGGCCGTGTTTTCTATTTGTAGCTGCACAAAGTATATTTTTATTATGCACATATTTTTTTCAAAAGACCGGCACAAATTGGGAGGTGAATAGAACAATCACATCGATCGAGGGTCAGTGTCACACATGTAGGTTTGGCCTGTTCTGCTTGAACATTCTTAGCTTGTATTCTTTTTCGCACAATTCTCCACTCAACGTACTGTACATTTATTGTCGAGCTGAATAGGCATTCAACTGTTTAGGTACACGTAGAGACTCTCAGGTTACAGAGACTTGACAAGACATTTCACCACTTAGAGAAATTTGTCTTAGGATGAGACATTCCTCACATTCTCCTGGTCTTCAGACCAGCGTCTATATTGTCTGTTTCCTTTAGAATGACGGACGCCTGAAGACCGCGCGCTGCGTTGTGCGCTCGACGATAGACAGATGAAGGCAGAGTTGCGAGGGTGGCTCTTCGTGTGAAAATTTTGATCGTAAGTGTTACGATGATCGTAAGTGCTACGATGATCGTAAGTGTTACGATGATCGTAAGGGTTACGATGATCTTAAGTGCTACGATTATCGAAAGTGCCACGATGATCGGAAGTCCAGATATGACCAACTATATTAAGATATGTTCAAAGTCTTACGAATGTCGATGCTTATTTAAAAATTGTAAGCTCCATAATGTCTTTCAGCACATTTCTTCGCCCGTTTACCATGAAATTAACCCCAAATGCGTTGACCAGCATGGGAATTTTTGCGTATAATAAATGGTCCTTTGATTACATGGCTAGGATGAAAATGCTTGGGAACCCTAGTGTGAAATATATTCTGATAATATATAAATAACGACGTGAATTACCCCAAGTACCACTGAAAGTACATTTGATAGCACTCGTGATACCTTTCTAATAAACAAACCTAAATATTTCGGAATGTAATGTTTCAGCTTCACTGTTTCTTGTGCAATAAATTTTCCCAGATCTTAGCGCCAGCGCTGAGACTATCGCGGTCAACCGCTGCACTCAGCCTTGCGGTTGAGAAGGTTTCCGTAGGGCGACCACAACGACGGCTCTGAAGAAAAGATTGGTTGATGCGCGTAGGATTGTTGTGACTCCTTCCTGTCTAAATAATTATTTTATTGATTTTAGTAATAGTCAATAATTTTGAATCCATACTAATGATGTTCCATTTGAGCATTATAATTTCCATCTAATGATTTCTGTATCACGAAATTTATAGTAAATTATAGATGCAATCGTCCTACAAATGATTACTATTGAAACTAAATCAATAGCTATATCAATATTTTGTATTAAATTGAAATTAATTCTTGCACTTTCGATCTTGGTTATAATTACAGAAAACCCTTTCGGGCATTAGAGCCTGACGAGCCCCGAGGGCATCCGTGGTCAGTCGAGACGCTGGCTGGGGCAAGGTAGCGTAGTGTGCGTCGGGCAGTTGCCGAGTGAGGGTGTCGTACCTGCGCGCATGAATCCCATGACTGGGCAGCACAGCTGATGACGCTTGCTAAACTAACTTGAGCATCATTCTTTTTTATATGAAAAATGTGGTTAGTGTGGATTCAAAAAGGATATAAATAATTTTATGAGATAATTATTAAGTGCATTCTTAAATTAATGAGCTTAGATACAAATGCCGGCCCACACCCGAGAGAATATTTGAACACGTCGTGGCAGAGAGCGTACAACTTGTTTTCGGATGGTGAGTTAATCTAAAGGATGTGTAGCTGGCATGTAAACATGGCTGGCGATCATGAAGTGAGAGAAACCCTGGGTGGTAGAGACCGTACCCACGCATCTGTTCGGTCTATGATCAGCGATGATATTTCACTGCTCCATTTAATGAAGAAAATACAGGAACATTTGGCGCTGTCGATTATAGGTTTGGCATATACAATTTTGGCTGTTTAAAGAATTAAAGTTTGAAGGCTCGCCTTGTTACGCTGAATGACTTGACAGTTTACGTGTTCTAAAGAATTAAACCATTTTTTTTATATTCTTTCTTTTTTTTGACAACTGCCAACCGGCGGCTTGCTTTACCTAACTAGTTTGATATTAGCGTGGATTTTACTACACAAAATTTGAAAGTGAATATTTTCACATATTTTCAATGATCATTAGACGGTCCTGTTGAATTTTTATGATGAATCGATTTCACAAATTAAATCGATGAATTATTATTTGAACGAAAAATTGTATAAATTGTGTTTATTTACAAATGACATCAATTCCAGAACCTTCCGTTGGTTTTTTCAACGCATTTCTAGAAAGACAATCTGCATGAACAAATTTCGTAGAGATGTCCCTTATAGATCATTTCATTTTCATAGATCCTGTGTTTAATATTACACAGGAATTTTTTTGCTTGAATTATTATTATTTCATGATTATGGTATTATTTTATTGGATCTCAGCTGAATTAAGAAATAATACACTAGCATTCTAATTCTTGACGATGATAGGTGAAAAATGTGAGATAAGGAAAAGAATTTTTTCGATTTCAAAAATAATTTTTTCATCGTTTCTAGTTTAACAGAGTCCGTGTATATATGCATACGTTTTTCATCGTACATAATTTCCATTCAGTCAGATATAAAAAGTTTCTGAAAATAATTCAAATTTATTTATACATGCAGAAATGTACGCAATGTCGCATGTAAATAATTTTTAATAAGACTAACTTGAATTAACTTTGTAAGTTATTTCTCTAAATCTTGTGATTTTAAAAACTGGAATATTGTTTTCCATTTAAATTTTGAACAATCAATTGAAGAAAGCACAAAATTCCAGTAGGTACATAACGTTTGTTTAAGGCAACAATATGTAAATAAGTATATTTACTCTGCCTATAGTATTGCAAATGAATTGTTTCTTATATTTAATATTGTTATTATTTATATTGAATGCAATAATTTTGAATTTCGTTTTCGTTTGATCATCAATTCATCGAATAATTAGTATTATTGTATTATAATTGAAGAAAACTTTAAATTCAAAAAAGATACCATATTGAACGACGTCGAATAATTTATATTTTAATCAAATTATCATTTCGTTTCATGCTTCTCCGTATTTACTGATTTTTCTCCTCTTTATTACATACGCTAAACTTCTGCTGTCTGCAGTCGAATCAGAAATTTCTTTCAATCACAATTTATATGGATTTAATTTAGGTTAATATTAATATCATACATGGCCTCAATGATGTCGGGGAAGTTGCTGTACAAAATATTTCAGTCCTGGCCAGTAATTTCTGATATTTTTGTCTATTAAATATCGATCGGTTAAAGCGGAACATCTGCTGAATCGACCGTGCAACATCTAATTTGTGGCTCTGAAAAAATATAGAATTTACTTCACATTAAATGACTTCTATAATTAGTCCGCAAGATTTATTTCTGATATATAATTTGAGTTTTTATGTTTTGAACCAATGCAGCTCTGAAAATGTCTCGAGGCGCCATGGATTCGCTTTACTGGAAATTTAATTTCATACAAAATAATTCTATACATAATGAAAAATAACATGAAGCTTTTACTGATACTATGAAAATAAATTCCACCTAATGATTAAATTTGTAAAAATATTCCTTGACAATTACATCGATGAGATGGAACTTTCAGTAAAATTGCACGTGTAAAAATTTACTAATGCTCAATTAGTTTTATAGCTACTGAGCTTTCATGCTATGTACAATGTGTTATATAATGTAGTATGGTATACAATGATGAAGTTCATTGTTATATTTGAATTCATGAATTTTCTAGATTCGGGTTCAAGAATTAATTCTATCTAAAAAGCGCTAATTTTTTTTCAATTAATGACTGCTGATCTGTTGTAGTGCAGAATAAAGATTTTTTTTATTATTTCATCAACTACCGCAATCCGTCTATGAATATAACCTGAATTCAGCATATATTCATAAAAATGAAACTTGAGGTCCGAACTCTCATCTTGTGACAGCACAAGCCCAAAATCATTTAAAAAAATGTATATCTTTACTTCTATCATTTGAAGCGCTCTATCTGAGACTCTGAGAGATCATACGGGATCGCAGTTTAAGGAGAAGCGTGTAACCGGTTTGCCGTTTACTTTCTCATTACGGGGCCTTGTTAACACGTGCGTTACAAGTGTAGACAATTCAGTCATAAATCATAGCTCACTCGACACACTTTTCATGAACTGAAAATATCTGATGGTAATAAGCGACCGCTCCTAGTCCGAAGGTGAACCATCCTTGATTTTCCAGTGATTTTAAATGCCTGTCGTTGGTTGAAAAGAAGTTTTAATTTGCACAGTGAGCAGGTAATGTGATTCTTAGGACCTCTAGAATCAGTAGAATGATGATCGCTGCTGTCACAATAGCTGCTAATTCAATTTGCATGTAAAACCGCTACTCAACATCAACAATCACAATATAATTTAATCATGCCAGCTTTATTTCGGCAGTGGTCGCAAAACATGTTCATTCTTTTTTCAGTGTCCAGGACCTTTTAACTAGTTTAAAAATCAATCTTGGTCTAGAATTGTCTCGTGATCCTTGAAGCTTTAAAGAAATTATCCGTAAGATGGCAAAAATATTTATACGATCGAAAAATGTTTGGGATTTCTGTATTAAAATTGTGATGATGAAGTGGTTTTGTTAACGCCTGTACAGCTCAGGACGTGGGCCTGCCCTGCGGATGTGGCCATTATAAAGATGGCGCCCCAGGAGAGATGAATCTCTGATAGCACAGATAATCGATACACGCCAATTTATCGGCTCCTGCTCTCTGATGGCCAGAATATCCTTGGCCTACTCAATTATCCAATATTTTCCTAACCTTTTCTAGCCGCGTGTGTTTACTTGAATTTCAGAATAAAATCGCTAAGAGATTTTAAAATTGCTCCTAGGCCTGTACTGGACCCAGACTTGGTAGCTCAACATCCCAAAGCAATTAAATGAATGAGTTGTAAGCGAGCGAACACTGATACATCTTTTACCGTGCCAAAATGCATCGCCAATTGAATAAAGTTTCAACAATTCCTCTGAGTGTATGCAGGATTTCCCAGACGTACCTAGCTTGTTTCTCCCGCAGGCAAGCAGCACCTGAGACAGAGTATTAATCAGTGGCTGACAGATCCTAGCATGGAAAGTGTGCGTAATTTTCGGTGGTGGGAAAACTTATGAATTTCCGAGAGCTTAGTTTCAGCTTACTTGGACGAGAATGCTTTTTAATGTCATAAGCGTCCTTAAGCTAATAAAAGCAAGTTAACAAAGAAATATTTCGTACAAATATGATATAAATGATAGCTCAGATTGCGAGTTTTTTAATATAAAGGCAATCGAGGATCCATTCACCTGAGATAACCAAGAAAAGCATATCCCCGAATAAGTTTAGAGGATATTTTATTTCTTCATCCATACCATGTCATCAGGAAGCTGCGGGCAGCAGTTAGCAATTTTCGAGCTACTATTACCCTGGTAAATAAGAACAGACCGGTACCAATATACTCAGTACAATAATTAGAGTGGTATTAAAGTCATGAGCGTCGTGATAGTTCAGACACCACTGCTTGGTAAGCCATTATGTTCAATAATTACGACAACGTGCTGGGCGATGCCCCATTAAAAATCATGGGCGTGTTAACGGCGGCCTCCTAAATCCCTGCGATTAGCCGCTCGTTCCGTGCCACGGTTTCTTGACTCGTACAGCGCTTGACTGCCTTCTTTTTGCTGTTCGAGACACGACTTAAAATTCGCTCGAGGTTCGTTTTTCAAAATTAATTACAATATTGTAAATCTGCCGGCAATTCCTGTTAGAGTTTATAAAGAAATCACTAGATGCGAATTTGAAACTTACGACGTCGTGACCGCTGATGCTGAAAGTTCAATAGTCAACCAATGTATATAATACTAGTAAGAAATATTACACACAAAAACCACAAACATGTTTATGAGCTAAATGATTGTGATTAACGAGCGGAAAATGTACGCAATCTGAGAATATATTAATTGGATTTTATCTGTGAAAGTCTCCGTCGGACTTGTGGTGAAATTGACTATAAACAGTAGAATTAATGTGATTTTTCCCTCGCACTAATTTCACCCACAGGACATCTCTTGTCACCGATCGTAAAGAACAAAAGTAATAGACAACAGTTATTAGTCAATTATTTAGGCGGAATTAAATGTAAGTGGGGGTTAATTGCCAGCGGTGTGGCTGCAAAATGAATGATGGCGTTGTTGGTTTCCTGTTGTAATTGCGGGGACGTTTTTGTAGCGCATGGGTAACTTTTTTGCAGCGTCAAGACAGGTTTTTATTCTGCTTGGCTCGCATTTTACTAAGATTTCTTAGCAGGAACGTCTAATGGTATGCGGTTGTTGCTCAACTGAATGTATTAATCTCTAGGTAAGAAACTAATAAATTAGGACTTATATTTATATATAAATTGCCTTTAGATTATCGATTAAATTATTAAAGCAAAAAGGGAACGATATGCTGAATTATTCGAATGATTTTTTAATGCAAATGTATTCCAACAAGAAAGTTGAATTGATCACACGAAGAGGGATCGAGATTGAAGCATTCCATATTGGAAATTTGACCAAAATTAGCAAATGCTTGTTAAAACCTGCAATCAAAGAAGTCAGTTTTTACGGGTGGCCTAATTTTGCTTCAAAGAAGGTTGTAGACTTCTTCATTATTTGGACTACATTG